GTGTGTGTGTGTGTGTGTGTGTGTGTGTGTTTAATGGGTACCAAGTCTATGCTGATAGATGATTTCTGTGAAGCTTCTGGGACAGAGCTGCTGCTAAGGCAGTGGTTTGTCTCATCCTTCTGGTATAGGCACTGAGTGACCCAGACAACAGTCATTCCACATGTGCACATAGGAGCACTTTACTTGAAGTCGAGAACCCTAGAGCAGTTTCAACCATTTCACTCAGAAACAGTGGGACCGTGAACACATGGCTTGGCAGTTCTGAGTGGTTGTTGAAGAGTGTAAACTATGCAGGCAGGTTGGCTGGACTGAGATCCAATCTCTGCCACTCACTGACTATGTGACTTCAAACAAATGGCTTAACTTCTCTGTGCTTCAGTTCTCATCTACTGAATGGGTATAGCATTATGGCCTCATTATGTAGAATTATCATGAAAAATATGTGAAATGATACATGTAAAGAACTTAAAACCATGTGTGACACATTACTGTATAACTACTAGCTCTTTAAGAGTTAACTATTTTTAATATTTGGGCTCTTGGGAACAATAAATGAGCTATTTTTAAATTGTAAAAGAGAAAATATACACATTATAGTATAGAGTCAAGTCGTGCAATTAAGCATATTTGAATTGTACAAATCTAAATGTAACTCTACAAATACGTCATATGTACCTGCTAATCCCAAGTCTTAATTGTTTTCCTCTAGTCACTTTCCCATAGTATTTCCAGTTCTTTGCAGCTAAAACTCAGGGTTAAAGACTCCTTGCATCTGTGAGGGCCAGGGCAATGCACTAAATGTTTGTCTGCTTTTGGGGTGCCATTGAATGTGAATTCCTAGAGAATATGGATGATATCAGGCTATCGCTAAACTGGAGGCATTTCTTGGTGGGGTTGGAAATGAGAGAAGGGTTCTCTTTGTTAGCTGAGTTTATTTAACTTTAGCAAATAACAAATATAGACATTGGGAGTGAATGAAGGCCTGAAAGTAGGAGTTGAATAAATTCATGCAAATATTTGTACACATGTTTATTTATGCCCGCAGGAAACAAGCTAAACAAATCCAAGAGCAGCTGAAAGTGCCACAAAATGGTAAAGGCTACAGTCTCAAAGCATCCAGCACAATGGCAAAGTCAGAGAACTTGGTGAAGAGCCATGTCCAGCTACAAAATGTAAGTGACATGTCTACACACCTCCTCCTGCAGCCTACCTCAGTGCTTCCAGTCCAGAGATGTTGGGAATCTGGGATCAGATTTGTATATATTTTTCAGAGCTTTATAGGGTTTTGCTTAAATCGTCTTACAATTCTGGGCTGGGAGGTATGCACACATGCATGTATGTATGCATCAGATAAAAGACAAGTTAAATTTCAGCTCTTGATTACAATCTGTAATATAAACTAATCTCTGGTAAAAATAAGAGCTTCAGTTGTTTGTCCCGTGAACACTTGTCGAATCCTTAGTTTGTGGCAGAAGATGTGACACCAAGGATACAATGTCCCTTGCCATAAGGGAAGTTCTGTGTAGGAAGAAACACAGAAAACCCCAGAATCAGCAGAAGTGAGTTCTGAGATAGTTGTTGTTGCAGCAGAGGTTGAACAAGAGGAAGCCAGTGGGAGGTGGATGGGGGTAGACTTAGGGGCTGCCTCACAACAGAGTCAGGCTCGGACTTGGTTTGGAAGGACATGAAAAGTTTTATAGAGAGTCAAAGGGCTAAGAGCTAGACACCAGAACATACAGGAAGAATAAAGCCATAGAATCCCAAAAAGGCATGTTATGTTCAGAGAACTCTGAGTTAAGGGTGTGAGAAGAATCAAAGATGAGAAGTAGAGTTTCAGAATCAATCCTTCTAATTCCAGGCCTTACGGAGATACCAGAACTTGAAGTTAAATGCAAACTCTTTGCCTCTTACACTTTTTGTAAGGCAGTTTTAATCATTACTGAGCTATATTGCGAAACACTAAATTAAAGACAAGAGAATACTGTGTAATACATAGAGATATATTCTTCTTAGGGTAGCAATTCTTTGACCCCACACAGCATTGCACTTTCAGAATCTGAGGCATAAAACAGAAGAACAAAGGCCACTGCATAAACCTAGCATTTGAGTATAATAGGCAATCATCCAGGACACATTCACACCCCTCCAAATGCTTAAATCACTGAAAATTTATACATCACTGGTGATTCTAAGAAATCATTACCCAAAAAGTCGCTATTATGATATCCATAACAGATGTACTCAAATGGTTTAACACGGAATTCATAAATCAGAATCTCTTCCCAGCCAAGTTTTGTTAAACTTTTATTCATGGCAATGTGCAGGAATTGTTCACTTCAGAAACACAGCGAATGGTTTTACTCTTGATTTCTAATGGATATAATCCCACCACTGTAAAACAACCACAGTGATGGAGGGTTTCATTCCTTAGCAACTGGTTATGTCAAAGATAAACAAAGCCAGACACTAGTTAAAGTGATGAGGATAGATTCTAATCAGCACTATATTAGTGGAATAGTGGAATAGTTGAACTGAACTTCAATTTGTACAGAAGTGGCTGGGCATTTTTTTTTTTTTTTTTT